AAATTATCTGGTCAAAACTGTCCCTTTGCTTAATTCACTTAACAGTATCAAGAAATGAAAAGTTTCCTTCTCACCTGCAGAGGGAAAGGGAGAATAAGTTTTCCATTTCTTTGTGATGGCTTGTTAATGCATCGGTGATAGTTTGAAAGGGCTTTCCGTGCATCGCTGATGCACTGTATGCCTTAATGTCTAATGCATTTCCTCTACACTGAAATGTATTTGCTATGTATTTATTACTGTTATTTATATACTGCCCCCTTAGTGTGCAGCCCTGTTCTGGGGAGTGTAGATACAAAAACAAGATAACCCCAACAAAGCCATCTAAAATATAAAACCAGAGAACAGCAGCTAAAATGAACCGACAGAAAGCTCTGATGATGCTGCAGCATATCAGAGTAGCAGTACAGGGGCAAATAAATTCAAGAGAGGCTGCCTTCAAAGGCATCTCGTAAAAGTGGCATCTTCATCAGCCTCTTAAAACTAGGGAGGGAGGGGGGTAGGTGTAACTCTGTCAAGGAATCCACGGATCTGTTTGTCCTTACTTAACAGCCAAGGTGTATTGAGTGTCAACCGATAGCAGGCAACATGGGAACCTAACATTTCCCATGCTGTCCGATGGCCGTGGATGCTGTGGCCAATAAGAACACAACAAAATAGCTTTCACTGCTTGTCCTTTGTGAGTCTCTTTGTTCTTCTTCTTTGTGTTTGTTTCAGATAGGCAGTCTTCATTTTGAAGTAAGGAAACCAAAATTGTACATCGTATTTTGAATGCAATATACTGGAGATGTGTAAGGAGGACAGGTGTTCAGTTTTCCATCTCTTTTTCCAAATCTTGTTGTTTAGTCGTTAAGTCGTGTCCGACTCTTCATGACCGCATGGACCAGAGCATGCCAGGCCCTCCTGTCTTCCACTGCCTCCCGGAGTTGGGTTGAATTCATGCTGGTCGCTTCAATGACACTGTCCATCCATCTCGTCCTCGGTCGTCCCCTTCTCCTCTTGCTTTCACACTTTCCCAACATCAGGGTCTTTTCCAGGGAGCCTTCTCTTCTCATTTCCCAATCTAGTCCTGGTCCAATATGGTACTTGACCAGTTCTGCTTTTGTTTCTTTCTTCAGAGCCTTAATTAAAACTATTCCTCGTTACTCGGATACGACTTGTGCTAGTGAAACTCTGTTGCTGGACCCGAAAATCTCTAGAAAATAAAACGGGCAATAATGTTTTTGAGCAGTTCTGTAGTGCATCAAGGCAACAACAACAACAACACCACACATGTACACACACACACACACACACACAGAGAGAGAGAGAGAGAGAGAGAGAGAGAGAGACTCCTTGCTATACTTTGGATGGCAAGCATCCCGGAAATGAACAGCAAGTGGGCGCTATGGGATCTTTCCAAAGATAAGACTCACCAACACCACACTTTCTAAAAAGTTTGCTTGTCAAACTCTCCAGCCTCTGCATTTGTCTCAGTGCCACTTGGAACACAAAGGAAAGTCCTGTTTTTAGCATCCGTCTTGTATGAGCTGCAATTTAAAAACTGACTGCGAGACTGGATCAAATTGGCAAACCTGTAAGAGTGCACTCGTAAGGCAACCATAGGGCACAAAATGCATGTGTGCCCCCATTTGGTTGGGACCCCAAAGGTATGATGTTAAGGTGGAGGTTGGGATTTTGCTTTTAGCCAAATCAGCGGTCTTTCCTTTTTTTGATTAAATTGGTGGGTTTGTTTAGAGATTTATTACAAAAGCAATTTCATTTAAGAGGTTATAAACACAGGACTTGCTGAGAAGCAAACATATACTTGTACCAGTGTTGAGAAATGTTAACCAGTTTGTGAATAAAGGCTAGAGATGGGCACGAATCAGGGAGAAAAGGGTGATTTGTTTTGATTTGTGATTTGTCAAGGGCAACGAATTACAAATTACAAATTTATGAATGTTTTTCTGATGAATCAATGGCGTAACTCTATCAAGGAATCCATGGATCTGTTTGTCATTACTTAACAGGCAAGGTGTACCGAGTGTCTACCAATGGCAGGTTGATTCAACCAATCAATTGATTCATGGATTCATTTGTATTGAACTGATCAATTGAGTCATTGATTTTTTTTAACTTTAAAGCCCTATAAAGCAGGCCTCAAGCACCTAGTGACATCAGAGTCATGGAGACACTTCCCTTAACTGTCCTCTACAAGCCCTGCAGGTTGATTCAACCAATCAATTGATTCATTGATTCATTTTTATTGAAACGATCAATTGAGTCATTGTTTTTTTTTTTTACTTTAAAGCCCTATAAAACAGGCCTCAAGCATCTAGAGACATCAGAGTCATGGAGACACTCCCCTTAACCGTCCTCTACAAGCCCTACAAGTTTCATGAAGATTGGGTTTCTGACATCCGACTTATACATAGAGCCACAAAGTGCTCTTTAGCAGCTGGCTTGGGGAAGTCCAATCTTCATCAAACTTGGAGGGATTGTAGAGGAGACTCATGGGAAGCTTCTCTGTACTTTTAGTGTCTCTAGGTGCCTGGTGGGTCACTTTCCTGGGGAGGCCTCTTTATGGATGTATAACTCAGACATCCACAATCCAGTCTTTGTCAGACTTGGAGGGATTGTAGAGGACAGTTGGAGAAAGCATTCCTGGAAGATTTCCAAACTTGGAGGGATTGTAGAGGACAGTCGGAGAAAGCATCCCTGCAATTTTGGTGTCTCTAGGTGCCTGGGGGGCTGTTTTATAGCCCCGCAAATCAATGAATGAAAAATCACTAAAAGTTGATTCGTATTCATACGAATCGATGAATTAGCAATTTTTGAATGAATTTGGTGATTCATTTGTTTTTAATTTGTGCGCATCTCTAATAAAGACCCAGCAATTCATGTGATTGCTCATCTTCTGCCTGCATGGAGGAATCGTATCATTTATATCTATACAGTCTCTCTAGAACCAAAATTTACTAAACTGATGGTATCAGACTTTGGGCACACCTTGAGAAGACAAGAATCACTGGGAAAAACAAAAATGCTGGGAAAAGTTGAAGGCTATAGGAGAAGAGGAAGACCAAATGTGAGATAGATTAACTTAATAAAAGATGCCATGGTCTTGAGTTCACTAGATCTGAGAAGGGCAGAACTTTTGGGAGGTCACTAATGTTCAAAGTAATCATAAGTTGAAAATGACTCAATGGCTTAGCTGGTAGCATGTCTTAAATTTTTCCTCCCTTGGTGTTTCAGGATGCAATTCGCATGATGTTGAGATTAGACTACTGTATATCTTAGGTCATTATTGCCAATTTAAGTTTGTTCTCTTGCTTTCTTGGTCATAGTGTCTTTGGAATCCAGAAAAAAAAAATCTCCCTTTGCCTGTGACTTAAAATTAAGGGACATGTAGTGATTCAGCTAACTTTCTGTTCTCCGGAAGAGGTTTTTGATAGGAAATAACAAAAGACAAAAAAGGAAAAACATGTTTAGCTTCCAATGTCCATTTTAGACTATTGGCTTGGTGCATCTTTCTCTTCTTTCTGCCCAAATTTCTGAAAATAACTTTGAATAAATATCTTTGTCCCGGCTACCAGACATGGCTTGGATGTTTACAACGTTATTTTTAACTGGTGCCTGAGAATGATTTCTGCATTGACTATGATTGTTACGCGCATTTGTGAATGATTGGCAGTTCTCATTGCTAAAGTTAAGAAGAAAATTCAGCAAGTTCAGAGAGTCCCACATTCTCTTTTGGTTAAGGTGATTTTAATCCACCAGTGAATTGCTCTGAACACTTATATCTTGGCTTAATAAGTTGATGTATGGATAAACCTTTTTGTTTCCCACATAACCTTTGCAGTAGGAGTGGGGAAGAACAGGAGAATTTCCATATATTAGAGATTCTCATAGTGTCCAGATTGGGATGCTAAGGTTAACAACATAACTGGGATATAACAGCAACTTCAAACTATGGCTTCTTCTACGGTGGCTTGTTTTCTGCAAAATGAGCTGCTGAGCTTCTCTTACTCACTTGGATCAAGAGAGAGGTAGAGGGGTTGTGTACATGGAGAAAAAGCGCATTGACACTTTAGCTTATTATGCCAGCGTAGAACTACACAACTGTGGTCAAGAAGTGTAGTTTTTGTGATTGTTTAGGTTTCCTGTCTGATCAGAAATGTATCAGTGGCTTTCGTTGGTGTCGTAGTTCCTGTGTTCTGTCCCTAGTGGTCAGTAAAGTGCTGTTTGTTTTAGCTCGGGGTTCAGCATGTAGGAAGAACATTTCATCATCACCTGGTAAGCACATTAGGTGATTTGGTGGAAACCGTCCCCCCCTCCATGTTTTAATAATTATCAGTTTTGAGTAGGAGACACACCATGACAGCTCAGTGAAACAACACAGATTCCATTCAGACACCACACCAAACCGTGATCAAGGAAGCATAACTTTAATCTTGCATGATGTTTCATCAGATGTAACTTTGCAATTAGCCAGCAAACCACAACCAGAAAACATGGTTTTATAGTGAGCTTGGAGGAATGAGTAACTTTGCAATTAGCCAGCAAACCACAATCAGAAAACATGGTTTTATAGTGAGCTGCTTTGATGTGACATCTGAATTAACAGTTCTTATATATACAGTAGTTCCCCCATAACTGCAAGTGATCCACTCCAGAATCAACCGTGGATACCTGAAACTGCAGATAAGAGGGACCCTATGAAAGAGAACAAGAGTGAGAGGAGAGGGGAAAAACTGAGCAGAGGAAAGAAGTGCACATAAGCGCTGCAAACTCTGCAGATACAGGGGGACTGGGGTATGTTGTTCAACCTCCAGAGGGAAAAGTATCTGGAAAGGATGGATGGACATAGGTTATGGTTTTTGGCCCATATGAAGGATGGTGTAAGAAGCTTTTTTGATGTTGGAAACGTGACTTGCTTTGACCTAATATCTGCAAAATGTGTATTCTGCCGCTAAGCAGTGATGGCCATTATCCAATGCTGTCCATTTTTCTGCTTATAGAGGCAGCCCTCGCAGCCGACGGACGGCTGACACGGCACAAGCACCCTCAATTCAGTGGAATACAGACCTGATGAGGATACGACCATGGGTAAGTAAGTCTCTTTTTGCTTTTCCTGACTCGGCTTTATTTGGCGGAGGCGTGCAATAGGACAGTATTTAATTTCCTGGGCATGCACCAGGCAAGTTGTGTTGATTCGGTCAAGAGAACCAAGAGGTAGCATCGTCGTTTGCCACTGGACTCTGCCTTTGGGCCCCAACTTTGTTGGTTGGAAATTCTCATACGGAGGACCAGGGATGCGATTAATGCAACGAAGCCCCGAGGGGGAGGGGGATTTGTAAATATTTTCCATTTTCTCCATTTTGTTCCATTGGCCTTCCAACAAGGCCGGTATTATGTGTTATGTCAACATGATAGTGCTTTTCCCCAAAAATAGGCCCAAATAGATGAACACTCTAAATGCTGAGCAAGACGATTGTAACTGGAGATTCTGGCTTTAAAGCAATCTTATACAGTGGTGCCTCGCATAACGTTTTTAATTGGTTCCAAAAAAAAACGTTATGCGAAACATCATTATGCGAAACACCATTTCCCATAGAGATGCATTGGAAACCGGTTAATCCGTTCCAATTGGAACGGATTGCCGTCCTTAAGCGAAAAAACCCATAGGAAACATCGTTAAACGATACAATGTATCCTCCATTGGAATGTATTGTAGCTGACTCAATAGGTTTCAATGGCTTTGCGAAGTCAATTTTTGCAAAATTAAGTGTGTCATAAAAGGGTCAAAAATGGTTTTAAATGCTTGGATTAGCTTCTGCACCCTCTAAAACGGATGCAAAAGTTAATTTGGCTTTGATCTGACTTTTCGTTAATTAATGGTGAATTTTTCCCCCCCAACTTTTGACAGCTGTCAAAATCTGACAGCTCCATTATTTCCTATGGGGGAAGAAAAAATTCACAAAAAATTAATGAAGACTCAGCAACTGTTCTAAATTCTTGGGTTCGTTAGAGGACCCCCTAAGTTGTGTGCAAACCTGATTTGGCTTTGATCTGAACTTTCGTTAATTTTTTGTAAATTGTTTTCTCCCCCATAGGAAAGCATGGAGCTGTCAGATTTCGAAAGGTTCATTGGTTGCTATGGGCCAAAAAAAAAAAATTCACAAAAAAT